TAAGATGTCAGCTTACCACTGATCTATAGATTCAAGGCAATCTTAATAAAAATGCTAGTAGTTTTTTTGTTGTTGTTTTTGTTTTGTAGAAATTGACAAACTCATTCCTAAATTTAGCATGATCAAAGCAATATGGAGAAAGAACAAAGATGGAAATTTTACGCTACTGGATTTTAAGAATTACTCTAAACTATAATAATAATGTGGTATTGACCTAAATGTTGACATAGATATATAGATAGATATCCTTAAGGGTGTGTGTGTGTGTGTGTGTGTGTGTATTTGTCTTAAACAAATACAGTATTCAGAGATAGTCTTATCTATTCAAGAATAATGTTTTTCTTTCAAAGGATGATAGGTAGATAGAGCCCTCTATTAAAGGAAAATAGAATCTTTATAACAAATTGTTCAAAAATTGGATATTCTATATAAAAAAAAATGTATCTGGACCTTTACTTCATTCCATACACAGAAGTTAATTTCAATTGGATCATAGATCTAAAAGCCAAAACTCTAAAACTCCTTGAAATTTTAGAGATGTGAGAAAAGTTTTATGGCTTTGTGATAGGCAACTATTTCATGGTATACAAAAAGAGCTAAACATAAAAGGGAAATATGATAAACTGGGCTTCATCAAAATTAGAATCATTTTCCTTTCTAAAGACACCATTATAAAAATGAAAAGTAAGCTATAGACTGGGACAAAGTGTTTCCAATACATACAGTCTGACGCAGGACTTGTATTAATAATAATAAGATAACCCAATTAAATATGGGCAAAACATTTGAATAGGCACATTACCAAAGGAAGTCATAATCACTTGGGATGGCTAAGAAGCATATGAACAGATGCTCTACTTCAGGGGTTGGAAAACTATGGCCCACGCACCAAATGCAGCCCATTGCCTGATTTTGTAAGTAAAGTTTTTTTGGAACACACCACACCCGTTCATTTATGTATCTTCTATGGCTGCTTTCATGCTACGATGGTAGAGTTGAGTAGTTGGTACAGAGACCATGTGGCCCACAAAGCCTAAACTCTTTATTATCTGCCTTTTTACAGAAAAAGTTTGCAAACTCCTAGTTTAAGGGAACCAAATTCCAGGGAAGGATAAGCTCTTCCTAGATTAGTAAACACCAGCAAGATTGGCCTAATTTAATTTATTTTCTTTCAGAACAAACCTTATTTTTCTTGGAAGTGTCACTTTTCATTACTGGATCTTTTGATTTCAATCATGATTGATTGATTGTATTAGTGAGCTAACAAAATTTATATGTTAAAGGCAAAATTGTACATGTCTCTCTTTAAATCTTGGTAATTTAAAATGTAGTATTTTGAAAGCTGTGTCTTCTGAGGAATTACACTTCAGAGTCAAAACAGATGTAGGTTCATGATTTCAACAAGGAGTATGGATGAAATTGCACTCAAAACCACTTAGTTTAGATAGCTTGTACTTATTTCCTTCAGCAAGTTAAATTTTAACTGCAAGCAAGCGAGGATGGGGATATAAGGCATATGCTACCTTTCTGGGGACTGAGTGGTCTTTCTCCCAGGTGGTCCCCACTCGCAGATGTCTGTGCACTAATCTGGAGTTAGAAGCTCCACCTTCTAGTCCCCATGTTGTGGTCTTTGATCAGTACACTACAGAAAGATGCAGGGATTCAGCATTCTTAGTGGTCCGGTAGGCCAGATTTGTGTGCTAACTGGGGAGTCTGGACACTCTGGGTATGCCTCACGTTCTTTCATGTTGTGGTCTTTGATCAGTACACTACAGAAAGATGCAGGGATTCAGCATTCTTAGTGGTCTGGTAGGCCAGATTTGTGTGCTAACTGGGGAGTCTGGACACTCTGGGTATGCCTCACGTTCTTTTGGGTTTGCTATTGCATCAGCTCTATTCTGACTGGTTATACTGTAAGTTATGTAAGCCATTACATCATTGGTTATATAAATTATTTACATAAAACATGTTTTGACTTTGGGGAACAATAGGTATCAATCTCCTTTGAGCAAGTTAACCGTATACTTATCTGTAACATGTTTACCACGTTAATTATTTTTGAGAAAAATGTTTTCAAGGAAGGGAAAATTTTTGGTGGGAAAGCTTATTTACCACTTTTAAACATAGCAAACAGATTTTATTCACTCCTATTAAAATGTAGGATAAATTATCCTTTAGAGAAAATTTATTTCATACATCACAAAGTATCAGCATGATTTAGTTTACTTAAATCTGATATTGCTGTTTTTCTATGGTAATGTAATTTAATATAGTGTACGAACATAAAAATGATTTTTGTAATACTAATTTCAGTATCAGAATATCTTTATCAGAAGTGCAATAATATGAGCTCTATGAAAATTTTCTCTTTTTTCTATTACATTTTACCAGTAGATAATCATCAATTTGACAGTCAAAGCCAAGTTGCATGTTATAGTGAAATTTTCCCACTGCAACAAAACTTAATGAAAGAATGTGAAAAATTATCTTTCTACATGATCCTTCTCCAAGTCATATCAACTTTAAAATTAACCTTGAATTCATCCTTTTATTTTCGTATCTTCTTTGTCTTCCCTCCTCTTCTCAATCTAAGCCATTTTTATACTCAGAGTTTGTCAGAATAGTCTACATTTAGAGTCACAAATTAGTCTCCTACTCTGGGCGGTTTAACACAGCAGAGGTCTGCTGTGGCTGACATAAAATTCAATATGGTTTGGGCTGCGATCCTCCTCTGTCTTGTAACTATACTATCTGCACAAGTGGCTTTGAAAGTCCTCAGTTGGGTTTAACACAGCAGAGGTCTGCTGTGGCTGACATAAAATTCAATATGGTTTGGGCTGCGATTCTCCTCTGTCTTGTAACTATACTATCTGCACAAGTGGCTTTGAAAGTCCTCAGTTCGGTTGGAAATGACAATATCACTTTTTCTCACAGCCCACTGGCCAACTAGCCACATGATGCCAACTTAATTGTAAGGAAGGCTGGGAAATGTAGGGCAGCACATGAAATATTTGGAGACCACTGTTATCTGTACCATGCCCATATTATTATAGAGTTGCATTTTAATTGGTTTTCATATTATCTCTCATATTCCACAACAATGCTTTCTCCAACTAGTAGCCAGAGTGCTTGGAAAAATAATTTTTGGTACTGTTTTACCACTAGTTTCCATTTTGCAATAAAATCCAGACCTTTTACTCTCACCTGTGCAAGGTTTTGCATGATATGGCCCTTGTCTTTTCTAATATCATGATTGGCATTTAGTGTTAATAAATATTATCTATGAATAGTGTATTTTAAATAGGCATTCTCTTTCATTTTGTCTATATTTATGAAATGTGATCTTTTTGAGTGTCAAATTTATAAAATCACAATAATGAATATAAACTGAATAAATACATACCAAGATAAATCATTATATAGTATCTTCAGTCACATTGTCTCCGCAATTAGAATTATTTTTTAAAAAAATGGCTTTTGAAAACATTGATATAATGTAAAAATCTGTTATAATAAGTAAATTCTACATGGAAAAGTTACAATAATTGCATTGCTTATTTGGCAACAAATCATCTTTTAGAATAAATGTTTTCTCTGGCTAAAGGTTATATGAAACAAATTCCATTATGGTTAAATACATTTTTTTAAATTAATAGACTTTACTTTTTGGAGCAGTTTTAGGTTCACAGCAAAAATAAGTGGAAAGTACAGAGAGAGCTCATATAACCCCTGTCCACAAAAGCACACAACCTCTCCCACTATCCAAATCCTACACCACAGTGGTGCATTTATGACAATTGATGACCCTACACTGACACATTATTATCACCCAAAGTCCATAATTTACATTAAAGTTCACTCTTGGTTTTGTACATTCTATGGGTTTTGACAATAAATGCATTTTTAGATAAGTTTTTTATAAAGTTCATATATTTTACTATTAAGTAGTTATTTCTCTTTAGTTATATCTTCAATTTCTGTAATATTTTCCTTGGCAATCTGCATCTTCTAATTAATTATCTCTCTCTCTCTCTCTCTCTCTCACACACACACACACACACACACACATAACCCATAATCTCAAAAAAATTTCATCTTCTAACTCTCTCTCTCTCTCTCTCTCTCTCTCTCTCACACACACACACACACACACACACACATAACCCATAATCTCAAAAAAATTATTTTTTCTAGTTGGAGTGGTTGGAATATTTTCATAAAGTAATTCGTAATCTTACAGACTATAGATTAGAGTGATGCCCTTGCCAAAGACAGAGAAACTCAGAGGAGCTGGGATTCAACCCTTCTTTTCAAATATGCATGGAAGAAAGACTTTATATAAATTCTTTGTAATTTCTCAGTTGTGAATCCTTAGAATCAGGTTTCTAACAAGCAGTTTATCTTAATAAACATCTCAAGACCTTTATATTTAGTGTGCTTATTTATATTTTTATTTTTTTAATAATTTTTGACAATTTCTTTAAATTGATTTTAAGTCCTTAGTTATCTAGTAGTGATGACTATTTCACCAAATGAAAATTACATACAGTAAAATTGAGTATACTACAGTTCGTTACATGGATTTAGATCTAGCACAGTTCAAATGACTTTTCCAGTATTTGATATCTATTTACATATAAAAGTCTCATGTAACACTTTTTATATGGTGTTAATATTTCCTTTTTTGTGTGTTTCCTTGTCTTTGCTGGTCCATCCTTATTTAAGTCCATCAGCATTAATAAAGTATTAGGCAGTAGAAGGATTATCCTACTACTGGATATATAATAGTGAATAGATACAGGTGTTTGTGGGTAGAAAGGTAAGGAAATAAAATCTTTTTGTTTGATAAGAAGTCAATCTGCCATTCTCCTTTCATGAGAATTATGTGTTTTGTATTGGAAATTAGATTTTCTGACAGTAGTCAAGGAAGTTATTAAGCAGTCTTTGTTAAAACCTGTTTGCCTTTGTACTTTGACTAACGGTGCTTGTCTTATTCACAGTAACTGTAGTACTGAATGGAAGTGGCTTGTAGACAGAGCGAGAGTTGGCAGCCGATGGACTTGGCTTCAAGCCCAGATTTCAGAGCTAGAATATAAAATCCAGCAACTGACAGACATTCACAGGCAGATTCGTGCCTCCAAGGTATTATCTCTGTTCTTCTGTTTTTGTTAAAAATTGCTACTGTTTTAGTTCCTTCTCAACTTGTCACACAAAATGGTTGTTATAAAGTTTTATAAAAATTTAGCTAGTTTGTGTTAAGGTTTTTGATATATTAATTACTATAAATTGAAGCTATTTCTGTAATGCCTTTGTATTTACCGAAATCATGTTATCATACTTTTTGAGCAATTCAGAACTTCATTATTGGGTTCCAGTTAATAGAAATATACTTTTTTTCTGATTTTTTTTTATTTTGCCAAAAAACACATAACATAAAATTTACTACCTTAACCATTTTGAGTGTACAGTTCAGTGGTATTAAATACATAATACCATCCATCATAACATTATGCATCCACCATTACCCATCTTCGTAAATCTTTTCATCTTTTAAAACTGAAACTCTAAACCCATTAAACAATATCCATTTTCCCCTCTCCCCAACCCCTGGCAACCATGTCTGTCTTTATGATTTTTACTATTCTGTGTACCTCATATAAGTGAAATCATACAGTATTAATTTTTTGTGTGTCTGGTTTAGCATACTGTCCTCAATTTTTATCTGTATTGTAGCATATATTAGAATTTCTTAACTTTTTAAGACTGAATAGTATTTCATTGTGTGTGTATACCACGTTTTGCTTACCCACTCACCTGTTGATTGACGCTTGGGTTGCTTCCATTTTTTAGCTATTTTAAGTGTGCTATGAACATGGGTGTAAAAATAACTCTTTGAGATTCTGTTTTCAGTTCTTTTCAGTATATATATACACCCAGAAGTGGAATTGCTGGATCATGTGGTAATTCTATTTTTAATATTTTGCAGAACCACCATACTGTTTTCCACAATGACTATACCAGTTTGCATTCCCACCAGCAGTGCACAATGGTTCCAATTTCTCCAAATCCTCACCAACATTTGTTTTCTGGTTTTTTAATAGTAGCCATCCTAATGTGTGTCAGATGATATCTCATAGTGGCTTTGATTTGCATTTCCTTAATGATTAGACATGTTGAGCATCTTTTCATGTGCTTATTGGCCATTTGTATATCTTCTTTGGAAAAATATCTGTTTAAGTCTTTTGCCCATTTTTTAATTGGGTTGTTTGTTATTTGTTCTTGAGTTTTAGGAGTTCTGTATATATTCTGGATATTAGTTCCTTATCAGATATATGATTTGCAAGTATTTTTCTCACTCTGTGGGTTGCCTTTTTATTCTGTTCATGTTATCTTTTGATGACCAAATTTTAAACATTTTTACGAAGTCCAATTTGTCTGTTTTTTTCTTTTGTTAACTGCATTTGGTGTTATATCCAAGAAATTTTTGCCAAATCCAATGTCATGAAGGTTTTCCCCTATGTTTTCTTCTAACAATTTTATAGTTTTAGGTCTTACATTTAGGTATTTGATCCATTTTGAGTGGGGAATAGATGGCCGCTACTGTGCTAATTGCTTAAATTAATTGTACTTTACTGTTCAAATAGTAAGTTTTCAATAGACTCCAGAGTTCTAAAATAGTTATATCAGATAGATTCTGCCAATGCAAGTGTTGCCTAGGTTGGGAGACAGATTCCTGGTGCTTCCTACTTTGCCATCTTCACAGAATCCTCTCCTGTACATTTGTTTAAATTGCCTGCTTTGTTAACACGTTTTAACATACATGGGAAAATTCTGTAACTTATTGGAATCTCCCTAAATGTTTTCTTGTTTGTTTGGCTTTAAGAAAAATTATAAACACATGCAAAGTTATAAAAAGTAATTTAATGATGAACATGTGTACTCATCCTTACATTTATCAAATGTTAAATTTCTACCAGTTTGGGTTTAGTTTTTAGAATAATTAATGCATTACCTGTACTGTTGAAATACCTATATAGCCTTCCCGATCTTATTCTCTTTCCCCATGTCCCTGTCACCCCTATTCTGTTTTGGACACTTTTTGATAATTATTATTCTCATGTATGCTCTTATACTATTGTTACATAGTGTCTATCTGTATTTACAAATAATATTTTTTATTCTTTTAAAGTTTGTGTAAATGATATATTTTCTATAAATTTTTTTGCAACTTGCTTGTTTTTGTTCAGCTACTTTTTAATTCATTTTTATACCTCATGTATGTTATTCCATTGTATGAATGAAATGGATATTGTATGAATAAAATCGATATTTATCTGTTCTATTTTCTATTTATAGACATATACATTGTCTCAATTTACATGCTATTGAAAACAATATTGCAATATCTTTTGTGTCTGTTTGTGAACCTGAGGAGTTTCTCTTGGGTATATATACCTTGAAGTGGAAATGCTGTATCTTAGGCATGGCTATCCTCAGCTTTCCAATATACTCAGTGATGTGACTAGATAATCATATTAACCACTAATAGAGTATGAGAGCTCCAGGTCTCCACATTCTTGACATCATTTTATATTTTTTGACCTCTTAATTTTTTGTATAATGGGTGTGAAGTATTGTATTTTTACTGTTTTAATTTAATTTTTCCTGAATATAGTGAGGTTGGGCCTCAATGTTGTTTGCGATCAGATTTTTTTTTTTGTCTAAGATTTAACTTATCTTTTTCACTTATTCTTTTATTGGGTGGTGGTTATTGGTGGTGGTGTGTGTATACACATGAATTCTCTTTAAATTTTGGAGAATATTCTTGGACAGTTATAAATACTACAAATATCTTCTTTTATGATCTATTTTATCTTTTCATTTTGTTTAGCGTATATATTGTTGAACAGAAATTTAAACTTCAGTGTAATTGTATGTGTTAATATTTTCCTTTATGGGTTGTCTCTTTCTGTGTCTTGTTTAAGAAATCCTACCCCTAATATTTATTTATGTATTTATATGTTGTGAAGTAATAATGTAGCTTTTTCTTTTCCATATGGATAGTCAGCTCAGCACCTTTTTGTAAATTATAGTTATCTTACCTTCTGATTTGAAATATCACTTTTTTCACATATTGAGTTATATGTATGTCTTTTACTGGACTAACTATAACTATATATCTGTCTTGATTCTACAGCTTTAAAAGAAGTTTGCTTTTTAGTACAGAAGTTCCCTTTATATTGATTTTGAAAAATTTTTCAAAAATTTTGTTTTATCAATCTTTTCATCTAGAATAAATTTTTGGTTTTATTGATCTTCCTTAATCTCTGTGTTTTCTATTTCATTATTTTTGCTCTTTTTTTTTTTTATTCCATTTTCATTGAGTTTATTGTATTGTTGCTTTTGTTCTTGTTTTAGTTTCTTGATCTTATAACTCTTCTTTTCAGTTCATACTCAAGTATTCCTTTGAGTTCATGCCATATATTTGTTTCATTGTTGTTCAGTTCTGAATATTTTGTAATTTCCAATGTAATTGCCTTTTTAATCTGAGTTACTTAATAGTGTATCTTTTTTTTTAATAGTGTATCTTAATGTTTCCAAATACATGAAAAAATTTTTTCTTTTGTAATTTATCATTAAAGTACATTGTAGTCTCTGAACCAATTGGCCTGTCTGGATTCCATTCTTTGGAGTGAAACTTTATAAATGCTTACTGTATAATAGAAATGAATGTATATTCTTTATCTATTGATTATAGAATTCTCTGTATATGTAGTAGATCAAACTAGTTGATCTTGTTGTATATATCTGCTATATCTTTATATATCTTCTTGATCTTTAAATTTCTGGTACAAGTTTGTTAAAATTTCCTTTCATCATTGTGAATTTTTCAGTTTTGCTGATAATTGTTAGTTTTTGCTTCTTAACATTTGAAATAATGCAGCTTGTTACATACAAAAATTTTTTGTTTTTGGTGTTGCTCTTGAAAGCGACTTGTAGCTACATTAAAAATTTCACTGTGATTAGTTTCTATTTTTTTATATTTGCATTTGTTTATCTCTTTGTATTCGTGTCTTGTTTTTCACCTCTCTTTAGTTGTACTGATAGAATTTGCTTCATTCTTTTCTTTCTCCCTCTGCTGGTTTGAAGCTATACATTATGGGTTTTTTTTTTCCTTTTTGTCTTTTTTCGTGTCCGGCAACGGATCGCAACCCTCAGTGTCGCGCCCGTACCGGACCGGGACCGGCAACGGGATCGCAACCCTCGGTGTTGCGGCCGCATCTTGCTCAGCCAGTGAGCGGGAACGGTCTGTATGTAGGATCCGAACCCTCGGCGGGAGCGCCGCCATGCTCCCAAGCGGCGCACTGTAGCAGTGCGCCACCGGGCCGGCACCTACATTATGGTTTTGTTCTTTATATCATTACTCCTAATTTTTAACATATTTCCTTAATTATAAATTCTTCTAACAATGGCTAAAGGTACTTAGTATTTTTATACTTTTTTTTTTACTTAAAACATGTATCTTAGTACTATTTAAATACTCATTGAAAATATCTATTTCAATTTAGTTACGAGTTTTACAGTAAATAATCAATTACATTTCTAATGGATTTCATTAATAAATGTGCTTACTGTGTTCTACCTATAAAATTATGTTACAGGTTAAACTGCCATAACAAAGAAACCCCAAATACAGTGGCTTCATAGAAGTAGTTTATTTCTCTTATACATAACACTTCAAAGTAAAGGGTCAGTATAGGCCGATGGAGCAACTTGTTTGTACGGGGTCATTCTGGGACTCAGATTCCTTCCATTTTGCTACTGCGCTGTCCCCTAGTGTATGTTACTTGACTGCACTGTTGAACAGGGGTATAGTCATCTCATTCCAGTCCTTGGGAAATGAAAAGAGAAGTGCAGGACAGTTTGTCTTTAAATTGGAAATGACTTGGAGGTTATACTACTTTGACTCACACTCTATTGGCCCAAACTTGCCCAAATTGAATTACATGACTACAGCTAGATATATAGGAAATGAAGCTGAATAACGTAGTGTTTCACTGAAATATTGTATTGTAGCATAGCTAAAACTTTGGTAGGAGTGGGATCTTTTAGTAAAAAGTAGAAAATGAATACTGGGAAGG